CAATTCTAATTAGTGATTGAAGACATGGGATCAGCTTGTGCTTTCTTCACTCTCTTCTCATTGGCCCTGGTAAGGATAAGCATTCCCTCAGGGCAAAGTAGTACATAATATATAGGATGGACGACGCTTGGAAGCAACCAGCTTTCTAGTTTTTGAAAACCACCCTTATTGTATTAGTATTAGTTAAAAATATTTTTCAATTATATAAGTCCAGCCCTGAGTTTAGAATCATGTGTCCGCGTAAAAATCCATTATAGAATTTCACAATTTTAAAACTGAAATTTTAAAAACTATATAAAATTTCACAGTTTGAAAAGTGTGAAATTTCACTTTTTGGGTTTGAAGGGTTGGTTTTGTTGTATAATTGTGCATTAATCTGAATATTAGGTGAAACCTCCAAACCCCAAGGGGTTTAAGAACTATCAACACTATATAATCTTATATATTTTAGCCTCGTTGAAATCTAAATAATTTTAACTTAGCATCCCAAACTTCATAAAGATCCCATTAGGCCTTATTCAATTTTGAGTATTTATAAAAGAAATTAGCATTTTGATCACAAAAATCAAATAAGTTGTAACTCTTTGTGTGTCTCTTTATTGAGCAGCTTGTTGCTAGCAGTGTTGATGCAAGAACAGACCAAGGAGAATACTGGCAAGTCATCATGAAAGATCAGTCCATGCCGGAAGCAATTGAAGGCCTCATCATCCACGGGGCTCGGTGTCATCACCTCTCTTCGACAAGAAAACTGACTGTCACATGACAACAGAAGCAGCAGCAAACAACAATCAACTTGTCAATGATTCTGCAGAGAAGAAGGCTTTCGTGAAAGACTTTGAGCCAAGGCCTCACCATGACAACGAAGTGGATCTGAAAGGCAAGTCATTTGTTAAAGATTTTGAGCCGAGGCCAGATCTTAGTACTTATGAACATTGAAGGGAAATCACAAGCATGCAGAGGAACTTGGAAGTGGATTATGTAAGATATATCTATATATATGGTTGAATCTAAACAATTAAGAAGCAAATGTTGTATGTTTGTGTGGTGTACTGGTTTGTAGTTGTGGTTTGAAGTGAGTGATTATGTTTAATTACTCAAAATAAGAAAAGCTTGTTGTGATGGTGATTGAGTAATAGTAATGAAGTTTTGTGTTTTTTTTACGTCAAGAAGTATTTACAAATGATTGCAAGTTTGTTAAAGTCTCAATAATTTTAAGGACACAAAATTGACTATAGAAAAATAGAAATAGATATCGTACACGTTAGATGGTGGGATTCTACCGTGAGTTGAGCAGACTTTCTAATGATAGATTTTACCATCTAATGAGGATGATCACATGTATTTTCTGTAGTCGGTTATGTGATTGATTATTGTCTATAAAATAGCTCATCAAATCTCTAATTTGTAAGTAATTATCATGTCTTTTCGAAATTCCATATTATGTTGGTTGTGCGTTTGTCCAATAAGAATACACTGTGTACTGAGAAATATGGTATACCATTATTTGAATGCTCCAAGAAGATCATCACTTGAACTTGATTATTAGATGACAATTAGAATTTTTTTTTTTTTTTTTTTTATGATCAATAAAAAAACAATTTTTTTTTTTTTTTTTTTTGGTAGAAAATTTGGGACCTATATCATTTTTTAAATCAATAAGGTAATGCCTATCAAATTTTAAAAAATGCACTAAAAAGGAAAAAAAAAAGTCACAAAATATATGATTAAAATGGAAATTATTTATATATTATACTTTATTTTTCTATTCAAATTTCTAAAACATTATATTTTAATATTAAGAATTCTATTTCATATATATATATATATTTGGTACTATTTTATTTTTTTAATATAATTTTTTGTTGGTATAAATATTATTATACCATTATATTTTTATATTAAATTATTTTGATATAAAAAAGGTGGAGTAAAAAATAGTGGAATAATTAAAAAAAAAATAGTAAAAAAAAGACCATACTAATCAAGTAGAGTAAGTAAATTAGGTAAGATAATAAAAGGCAAAATAGTAAATCCTTCTCTAATCCGAAGGGATTGTTTTTCTAATACCAGCATCCATGGAAAAAATTACTAATTACATCCATGCAGACCTATCATAGTCCCAAGATATTGTGAATCTCCCTCCCCATTCTATAAATAAACATAATAGTAGTGGACTCCACATCCATCCTTGAAAATCCTAAGCGATTCGTGATTAGATCAAGATTTAATTACTTCAATTCCTAATCATTCAAAACACACAATCTAAATTATCAAGCACTTACGAAGCACTTACGAAAGTGATTTAGATTGTTGTTTTCAAAATAACACAATAAATCGACACAAACGATTTTTACATGGAAAAACCACAATTGAAACACTTTCAATTGTGATAAAAAAAAACTACAGGCGAAACGCCACTAATCAATCCACTACTGAAGAAAGAAAGATTACAAAGATAACAAACAAATTACCAAACGCATCCAATTTGTCTTCAACCCTTCTGTAAATCTTTCGCCAAGCCTTCATCTCGGAATTGATTAACCTGAAGTTGAATCCACAACTTCACTTGTCGAATCAACGACTACACACAGTATCAAACTCCTTTGAAACTCCACGTTTGAATCTCCAGAATCCACCAAAGAAGAATACTCTCGAATATAACCAATCAACCTCCCTGATATGTGCTTATCAATACATGAGTTTAATACTCACTCAAATCATCAAGGAAAACTCACAAAAGAAAACCTCAGAAAACCTTAAAGTAGATCTCAAAAACCTAATCCTAATTTTGGACTAAAACTACTACTTATAGAAATCTGGGACAGCGAAGCTCGCTCGAGCGAAGACTCTCTCACTCGAGCGAGGAACTAATCTCGCGTGTTTTTCCATAAGTGGCTTCGCTCGAGCCATACAACCTTCGCTCAAGCGTACATTCATCCTTCTCAGGTTTTTGTCAGACGCAGCCTTCACTCGAGCAAGGACTCATTCGCTCGAGCGAGCAAGACAAAACAGCAAGGAAATTTACAACTCAATAACTCAAGTTTGTCCACCGGATTGACAAGACTAAGGGACCTAACAATCCTAATCTAATCTCATTTCCTATAACCCAAAACAAACGGACCCATAATATGCCCAACATTTATCTAGAGTCAAACACGCCCCTAAGTTAAACTTCACTTACGATATCTAAACCCAATTACAAACTTGATTGTAGGTGTGACCAAACACCACCTTTCAACTCAAAAAAAAAAAAAAATGCAAATTTTTATTTCATTTTGTCTGCGTTCTTCGCTCTCTAACTTCTTTCTACCTTTCTCTCATTTTCCCTTACTTTTTTGTTGGCCAAACACCCCACTTTGCTCCACCCTTACACCACCACCTCAACCCACTATGGTGCTGTTTAGTGTAACTTATTGTAAGTTAAAAGTTGATAATCAGAAAGCAGAAGCCGAAAGCACCCCTTCCCCAACTTCTAAATAATCAGTTTTTCTCAGCTTATTTAAGTTATTTCTGCCTAAAAAGTTATAAGCAGAAGCTGCACCAAACAGTCTAGCATAGATTCTCAAATTAAAATAAGCTATAATCACCCTCTATCTCCACCACCACGGCCATCTACCTCATCAGAAAAAGCTCTGAAAAGAAGTTTCAACTCTAATTTTTTCTTCACCTCTTGGCATACACTATATAAGTGCACTTATTTAGATAATTGCACTTATTTGGGTCACATCACCTCTTTATTTATTTTTTTTGTACATACTTTCGTAAAAAGTTAAAAAGTATATTTATTTAGATCATTCAAAATCTATATAGAAAAATGGGACTTTTAGGGAGAAGCCTTCTAGGAGTTTCAAACATTCATTCTAAAATTATTGAATTTTATTAATTTTAAACAATTAAGAAAATTCCTATTGGCTAGCTTCCATTTATCTTTTAGTTTACAATCCCACATCCAAAAGAGAAAGAAAAAGTGAATTTTTTCACTTACATAAAGTGAATCTTATACTCCCATTTATATAAGCAAAATGAAATTTTTAGTGAGAAGTCTTATGATCAATATCTCATACTAATTTTTTTAATTTTCTTAATTTTAAACAATTAAGAAAATCCCTATTGGCTAGCTTTATAGCGATCCTGGTTTTCCCTTTCTGTAATTGTTGTATTCTGGACTTTGGTTCCGCGGTGTTGGTTGTTGTATATCTTGTTGTCATCCTTTAATTTCATATGTTTGAGTTTTAGGATGTATTGGGCAGGGCTGTTACAGGTTGGTTAAGCCTTGGTTTCATTTTCTTGTTGCCCAGTTTTTAGGTGGTCCGCTCGAGCGGGTCTTCTTGGGCTCGAGCGGGGTTTACACACTCCCAGTATTTCGTGCCCCTGCAAAACTTCTGCAGGTATGTTTTTCATGCTAGATTTTCTCGAGCGGGTCTTCTTGCGCTCGAGAGGGGTTTACACACTCCCAGTATTTCGTGCCCCTGCAAAACTTCTACAGGTATGTTTTTCATGCTCGAGCGGTTTTCCTTACGCTCGAGCGGGTATGTTGGCACTCGAGCGGGTAGTGCTTTGTCTGTGAAAGTTTTGGGAGGGGGAAATCTACGCTCGAGCGGACTGGTTTTTGCACTCGAGCGGATGTGCTTTATTCTTGTGTCTTGGCGCTCGAGCGGGCCTTCTTGCGCTCGAGCGTGTCTAGATTTTTGTGCTTGACGCTCGAGCGTTCTGTTCTCCGCTCGAGCGGGAGAGTCGTATATTAGTTGACAACTAGGCTATTTTAAATCACTTTTTACATCTCCACTCTCTCTCTTACTTTTAAAAAACGCCATTGGAGAGCCTCTCTCACTAAAACCTCCACTTCTCTCTAGATATTGATCTAGTTAGAGTAATCTCCCACCCTTTGGCCTTTGTAAAAAGTGTGTTGATCGTTGAGGGCTACATTTTGATCCGAGAATTTTGGGATTTGGAGCATCTTCGTTTCTTCATCTTCTTCATTGGTATTCATCTCTTGAGGTAGGGATTCCTACTCATCCTTATGGGTTTTGACCTAGATATTGAGCATGTTGTTTAAATGGTTTGATTTTGGGACTTAGGGTTTCAAAATGTAGAAAAGGGGGTTTGTCATTTTGACTCTTTAATATTTATTTTGGGTCTCAAAATGATGTTATTGTTGTTAGTTGTTGATATTTGACCCTTGGGGTTAATATTGAGAGATAGGGGAGAAAGCCCTAAATTGTGCATAAATTAATTGGTGTAATTAATTTGGGAAAGTTATGGGTTTGTGAAATTGAGTTGAATATAATGAAATTGGCTCATTATGAGATGGGATAGTGGAGTTGGATTTATAAATCATTCACTTTTGAAAATGCGAATAATTTATCTGTTAGTGCTTTTATTATCTGTTTAGAAATAATTGTTTTGGGCTACCGGTGGAGGGTAGTCTTGATTGTTGTAGACAATGCATGATGATTAGGAAAACTAAACCTGATCAATTGAATGTGTCATAGAATATGACGGTTGAAATAATAGATTAACTTTATGTATTTGTTAAATATGTATATGATCTATGTTTATATACATTGTGTTGTGTGGGAGGAGATAGGGGATATACTCCACGGTTTAGGGGAAGATAGGGGATGGACCTCCAAACCGGATAGTGTTTGGGAGAAGATAGGGGATGGACTTCGTAGATACAGCTCATATGCTTATCTGTTGAAGCGGTGATACAGCTCATATGCTTATCTGTTGAAGCGGTGATACAACTCATATGCTTATCTGTTGAAGTGTTGATACAGCTCATATGCTTATCTGTTGTGAAGTAGGAAATGTTTAATATGAGTTACTGTCTCATTTAAATCGTTTGGCCAGGTTCTAAGCCATAGTTATAAATTGAGAATTGGAAAGGCAATAGAAAATGAAACGAAACATGGACACATTTGTCATGAAATGGAAATGGTTTGTGAATTGATTTATGTGAGTCAAACATTTATCAATTGCTAATGTTTTAGTTACTGCTCATACTATGTTTAGCATATCTCTACTAGGCGTTGGCTCACCCTATATGGGACATCATTTTGAGGTACAGGCAGCATGCCACCTCCAAGGACATAGCTTGGGAGGCTAGAGGCAGACAGATTGTTTTGTTGTTTTGCTTTATTTTGATGTATTACATGTAAATTCA